TTAAAGTAGGTAGCTAGTAGCTACTGTAGCTGCTGTAGCTACGACTGGTTACGACTGTGACAATGTCAATATATGAAAAAGCTTGGCATTTGAATATTTAGCCACTCCCACGCTATGACATGCCTCCGATCGCCTCGTTGCATATAGTCAACCAAATTTAAATATATTCACGCGGTGAAAGAGTATATTGGAAACTATAGACTATTGAAACAAACTCAAAGTTGGAAAGTTAAGTCTTAAAAACTGGATTATTGAGCTACAGCCGACCAAACGTCTCTATCGATGCACCCCTTTAAAAAAAATTGTATATATGCTCGCCGTCGTGGCAACCCGAAAAAATTCCTACTTGTTGTTTTTTTGAGACTTCCTCCGCCCTATCTTTTCATAACACATCATGACAAAAACATTTTATATTTATTACCACCCAAAATTTAATTTTATTAACAATTTATGACTTTGTTGTCAGCTCTTAGCCGCTTTCCACACATCATTTTGCTCATTTAAGAATATTCTTTGCATTATTTTCTTATTTTCGCTTATTTCTCATCGCCCAAGTATGTGGCTTGTACATAAAAAAACATTGTTTAAATAGTTTAAGTTTACTCAATTTGTCGACACTCAGAGCGTCTGTCGTCGTTCAAAGACCTAAACAGGTGCACAAAAGTCCAAAGAACTTATTCACATTCTAAAATTAAAGCTAAGGTAGTAAAAACATTATTACTTAATTTCCGACTACTGTATACCCTAAGCTATGATTTAAAAATAATTAAATGTAAATAAAAAAAATTAAAAAATATTGCTTAACTTGCGAAATATGTCTTCAGAATTGCATAGATATAATCTGACTAGCAATGCGGGCAGCGCATGTAACAAATATTTACTAGCTTGGATATGGCCCAAGCCAACGGCTGATAGACCTTTGGTAATGCCTATAATTAGATACAGCTACCTGTGTTTTTTGTACTTTCAGACTGTGCGACTGAGCAAACAACGATGACGTTGTATGAAAGCGTATTCAACTGCATGAATCGCTGTTTGACGAACTTAAGAACTGTCCAAAAGGCTAATAGCACAATGCCAATATCAGCATGACTCGCAGTCGAATGTACAAAGTACGATGTAATCTACGTTGATTTTGTAAAAATTCCTGAGATAGGCTAATTAAACAGCGATGCGCATACCTAACGAATAGATTTATAGCTTGGCTTGGCGACGTTTTTATCTTTTGGCCAGACTGGTTGGCGCTTGACTCATTGCTTAAAGGCTCCACTGTAGCTATCATGTGAGCTGTGTGAATCCCATGACTCAGTCTGTGTGACTGTGTGCCAGTTTTTTTTTATAGTCAATTATTTCACGCATGCGCAACCAGATACCAGTTTGCACCTGTTGATTTTTAACAACAACAACAAGAAAATAAAAAATAACAAAAGGCACTCTTAAAAACGTATTAAATATACATACGTATTTTGGCCCCCTTTTTGTTATAGCCATGACTTGCACAACAATCGCTACCGGGGTTGTTTTTATTATTATTTTGTTGTTATTGTTATCAAGTTGATTAATGCACTCGAAATGAGATTCTAATTGACGAGTCTTATTGGACAATGCCCACTTGCAGCGGAGTCAAAAACCTATAAATGCAGCGTAGTGAAGAAGAGTTGAAATTGATTGATTGATCAGGACACAAACCATAGTCGATCTCATTTAAATGTATACTTAGTGAAGACACAAACTCTTATAATGCCAACGACATGCGCAGCTTGATACTTATATTATTATTGTTATTAATATCAATTCTATTCAAAATCAATTCAATTTTTTATAAAAATAAAATTTATTTTTATAAAAAAAATTCCAACTTGAATATAAGTTATTGCATCACAGACACAAACCTGCACATATGTGCAACCAGAGATCTCCTTTTATTATACTTAGTGTGGACACCAAGCCTTATAATCACAGCTTCAACATTGTTATTTTGACACAAACCCTTAGCTAATAGCACTTACTTGCATACTTAGTGACCTTATAATCCTCTCAATATGCTCTACTTAATATCTGCAATTAGAGCGTAAGCCTCATGACTGTTAGGTAATACTTAGCGGGTACACAGAACCTTATAATCACCACACAATACTCTGAGTGATAGATGCAATTAGAACACAAGCCATATTCTGATCTACATTAAGTAAATATTATGCTTAGTGAACCAGGTTTTGCTTATAATATCATTGATATGCAAACCGGAAAGCACGAGCTCCTCTTTCTGATCGCCTTTCAGTTAATACTTAGTGTGGACATAAACTATTATAGTCCATATGGCATGCTAATCTAAATATGCAAATAATTGAGATTCGAACAAATACCTTAATTTGTTATGTTTAAAAATGTAAAGGAAAAAAAATTTTTATTTATCAGCTAATTGCTTTAATTGTAACCAGTTGTAACCGAATTCTGCTGATATTTACAGCATTTTTCCGCATAGGTTTAAATATTTAATTCTCACATTTGTCCAGTTCCTTGCACATATTTACACAATTGTAAAAGTCAAATAATAGCAAACAGCAAAATGCAATCAATGCCGAGAGATATGGGCTATAAATATTATATACATGCATTTCGAGTGATACTTAACACACATATTTATAATGCTCTGCTCCATTTGATATACGCCAAATGGCAGTGCGGCATTTAAGTTGTCAGAGATAATAAACGACACTTCAGATAAGCATCCATCGCCATAGAATACAGCCCCCTCATAAATCATGCGAATTTCACACAGAATGTCTTATCTGCGCACTTAAGACTAAGCACATAAACTAGGTTAAGAGGCCGCCACATACTAACCATAGTTGGGCAAAGTAAGTGCACTTGCATTCATGAGATTCGCAAAGAGAGGCTTTGGCTATTGTCGATTCGAAATAGATTAGCAATGCTGCCTCGGTTATGTGTAGCTGTGTGTTTATGCCACTTGTAAACGATATCCAGTTTTAAATACTATAATCAATCGAGCGACAAGCTGATAACTGAAATCATGTGTAACTAAGCTGTGTGGAATGTTAATTGATTTGAACACAAAATATACAAATGTGAACAAATGGAATTGGAATGTTATAGTAAGAGACTGAACGATATGCGTATACTCTGTTAACTTTAAGTGAGAGGTAAATATCAGTGCTTATACACAATTGACATGCTACATGTCTTATACGACCTGCGAAGACAGTGCCATAGCTTGCTCTTATACTCCCTCCTTAAGTCCTTTCACACAATGGTACAGGGTATAGCAAGCACATCATCATAAATTGATGCAGCCGAGGATTAATATGACAAATATTTTATTCAACTCTTTAGCATAGAGTTCAAATAATATTCAAGGATGCCAACTATAAGTGTATTGAGTGTGATTACGAGTATTGTGATTGTGATTGCTATTTCTATTGCTATTGTGATTTTGATTATCGCTATGGCCACGCATCTGTTGGCATTATGCAATTGCCTGCTGCAGCGCTGAAACAATTTGCATGCAAAAAGTTCACGCAACTATGCAACGTGCTGCATTATTCGCATTATCAATGTTGCCGCAGCAAATTGCGCAAATAATCAAAGTGGAATTTTTGGTTATAAATTTCAAGCAAAATAATTAAATGCAAATTTTAATAAACATGAATAGCAGAGGTATGCGTGACTAAGAAATACCTTTTAAAAAGTAATAAGAAATATGCAAACTTAAATCATAAATTATTAAGCATATTTTTTTGAAAATTTTTTTTAAAATAATTATTAAAATAAAAATATCAGCAGAATAAATTAAGGCCAATAATGGTAAATTTCTTAGCGTTTGCTGAAAAGTTTAAATATATTTGTTTGGTAAAAAATCACTTCTTAATTCAGAAATCAAGTTTTTTACAGGGTATTAAAACAAAAAAATTTCTTTGCGGTCAGTTAAAAGTTCAATTGAATTAGCCTGTGCGAAATTGTCTGTGAAATTTGGCAGTTCATATAAATGGAATAGTTTGTAAATCATATGCACAATACGAGAACTAACCCGAGGGGTAAACATAACGCGCTCAGCAACAACAATTGTAATGGAAGAGTTTACGTATTTCCTAAAAAAATGTTGTAAAGCAAAAGTACTTAAAAAATTGTTAAATTCCACTTAAAGTTAAAGAAAATTACAACTATGTGAAATAAAAATGAAAAAGTAGCGACTTGGTCGTTGCTATCGCCACAATTAGCTCTGTTTTGTGATTGTTATGTTTGCGTTTATATATAACTATGTAGGGTATACTAATTAAATAACTAAATATGTGACAAGAATTAATATTAAGGCTATTGAGATTGTCAGTTACATAGTCTCTACTCTAGTCAAGTTTGCAAGTTAAAATTTTACAAATTTATATTTATCTGTCAAATTTATTATCAATATAACTCAAACCTTTTTGTTCACTAAATATAGACTTAAATAAAAATTAAGCAAAAATATGAATCTGCTGTATTTATAAAAAAGAATTTACTATGTAATCAATTAAATAAATAGTTGTAGAAAATGTGTCAAATAGAAATCAAGGAAAAGCGCTGCAGGCGAAAGTTGTTGCAAAATCATAAACTGAATCAATTGGAAAATATATATCTCAAAGGTAGAAAAATATATATATACATAAAAAGTAAATAAAATGTAATAGTTTTATGAGAAATTTGATAAGCAATTTGACTACTAAGCTCAATGTAAACAACCAGCTAAGCCCTGCAGTGAAAACTCCAGTTGAATTCAAACAAATTTCATTACTAATTTTGGCAGCCTTGATTAAGATGCCCCTACGCTACATCTGTCAAATAAACACTCATAGTAAACTATGTGTAAGTGTATTTAAGCTTCGTCAACTCAAAGATGGGAGTGTGTGTGTGTGTTTTGTTGTTGTTTCTAATTTATTTCCGATAGTGAAAAACATTGACGTTCTGCCTGATTCGTAGTCGGTGGGGCTTGCGTTGTTTCAGTTTATTTAATTTTTTTGCGGCGTCTTCACGTCACACACAGAGGCAGCGAGACACAGATACAGTCAGTGTCGGCAACTCGGGCCGTAGTCAGTAGTCAGCTGTGTGCGGGCTCTTTGCTAGGCGGTGTTTGTTTGTGTCGCTGTCCAGATACAGATACTCGTACTTAGACCGCAATCGCAGTCGCACAGCAGCAGCAGCAGCGGCAGCAGCGACGTCAACTGCGTCACTGGCAGCGCAGTCGGCGGCAAGCTGACGTTAACGTTAACGTTAACATAAGCACTTGGCAGCTAACTTGGCTGTAAATGCTGCCCGCTACGGAGCGCTTTTAATTGTTGTAAACAAGCGCGCGCGTTCGGATTAAACTTAAAAATAATAAAAATTCTAAAGAATATATCAAAATAAAAAAAACAAGATTTTTATTGGAATATTCTCTTTAAGCGAAATTACAAATCAGCCGCGAGTTGTTTTCGAAGACAAACATTTGTTGGTAGAGGTCATGAAGTGTGCCTGAATTTGTTTTGCTGTGGCCCCACATCAAAAGTATTTATGCAAATTAATTAATGCCGGGCAAGCAATGGAATCGGCGCCAAAGAAAAAACCGAAACAAATTTCAAATTGAAAGTCTACAGAAATTGTTTATAATTTGTGTCGCGATCAAAACAAACAAAATGTAAGCGCAGACGTTCACAAAATCTCTAAAGAAATTACTCAATATACAGATGTCTATATATAAATATATATATATAGAGATGTGTATATAGAGGTATATAATAATTCCATAGATATTATGAATTGCAATCGCTTCCTACTTTTCCATTTCGCGTGTTGTGCTTTTGTCTTTGCTCCGTATTCTATAGATTTGTTTTGTTTCCCTTTTCTTTTTATAAATATTGCCAGCGCGAATTGTTTTTGTGCTTTTATAATGCTGAGAATGCGCTCTTCAATTAAATAAAAAGTGTCTGATTGAACTGGAATTGTTTATTAAACAAAAGTGCATGCCGAAAAATAGATTCATTTCGCGTATCTCACAATTTAACGTACAAGCAATACAAATGTTAGTCAAATTTTGATTACAAATTCAATATGACTGATTGCTGTTATCAAATGTAATCTCACTGATACACTGAGAACTAAGAACTTTTGCTGATTGCATTAAAAACTGCATTCAATTTATAAGAATTAGCAATTTACATCTCAGGCATTATCGACTGCCTGTCAATTTCATTGATTTGCCACGATCTAAGCCCATTCTGATTCAGTTATAATTTGCTCTTTATGCAAGCGTTGAAAACTTGAAATTTTCCACTTGATTTACTCATTAATTGCGCCCTTTACGCCTGTCAGTGTATAAAAATAAAAATAAAAATTATAAAAAAAAAAAACAACAACAAAATTACAATGTAAACAGTGCAGCTGCATATTTAGAACTGAGGCCTACAATACTTACAATTGCGAGTCGCCTAATGAGCGACAACTTTATGACTTTTATGAGCTGCAATCATGTGTTAAGCTGCATACAATTGACTCTAATTGGATCTGCTTGTAGATGTTTTCTTTTCTTAATGCAGATAACAATTGACGACAAGCTTCTGAGCTATGAAAATATTTTGCTCAAATCTTTAATAACTATTTGATGTCTGTTGTTTGAGCTTATATATATTTCCTTTTTGTTTGTTATCAATTTAAATAAATTTTACTAAATAAACCTTCAGCTCTCTCATATCAAGCATATCTGAATAGCAACAGCAGCTCGCACAGCGAAGCATTTACTGACACAAATCAACGATAAAAGTCTTACATAGCACCTACATATCAGCTCAGCAACTGAGCGCAATCTATAATCGACTTGCGCCACCTTCGTCGATCTTGACATGTAGCTAGCAATTGTTAACTCAAACAGAAGAACACTTTTTATGGCACTGCAAGTAGGAAACAGCAAATGAAACAGAGCAAAGCACAAGCACGAGTAACACTTCCATACAGTTTTATAGCCTGAATAACATCAACTTGGCACATTAATAAAACCTTATAGATAGAGCGAGCAACACCAGTACCGAAATCGACATCAACAGCTAAAATCGAGCCCGAGTTACGAATCACAAGTCAGATACTTCATTTAGAAACGTTTATTGCTAAGATAAATTCAGCAAGGAGTTTAATAGCCACTATCAATATTTGTACAACAAATAAGCAACGAGAGCGACCGAGCTGAGTGCGAGGCGACGTATAATGTCGTAGCCATAAGATACGGACGAAATCGTAGCAGCAACAGCAGCAGCCGCCACCGCAGATGCGTATGGCGAATTAACACAAAAGCGTTAATACAATTAGTTTAAAAGTGAAAAATCTCATATATATTATATATATATAAATATATAAATGTACACACACATAAATGCGATTCGAAACGAAACGGCGAAAAAAAACTGTTAACTAAATAATAAAATTGAGAAAAATACGCAGCGAGGCTGTCGACAAAAAGCGCCACAACAAATTTGCAACTTTACACTCGTCGTCGGTTTTCAGTCGCGAAATGAAGCCACAGCCTCAAAGCTGAACCACAGAACGCGTGTGCCACCACATACAGAAATATCATAACAACAACAACAGCAGCAACAACAACAGCGGCAGCTAGTGAAAAATATTGTTGAAACATGGTCGAGTTACTCAAGGCGCTCAATTTGACGGGCAATTTGCTGGCAGGCCTTGAAGACAGCAGCCTTGAGAATGTGTCAAGTCCCATTGCAGTGATCACTGCTGCGGAGCCCAGTATCAATGGCACGGCCTTGAATGTTACCACAACCACGACGACAACCACCACGCTGGCCAATGCCACCAGCAGCGCCGAGAAACTCCAATTGGACGGCTTCGATCTGCCGGGCAACTATTCCATACTGATTAATAAGTTGGAGCAATTGGCGCTGGGCCTGGATTCGGCTCTGGGAAACTTTACTATCGATCGCCAGGAAGTGGAGATCAACTTGAGTGGCGCCTCCGCCAATGATGTGGCCGATGTAGCCGATGATTTGATCTTCAACGACGTCTTGCCCGCTGCACGTGCGCCAACGCCACACATAGCGCACGGCTCGCGGATTTACACCGGCGAAGAAGAGGATTTCGCGCATGTTGTGAGCGATATTTGGATCGGAGTCATCCTCACGCTGCTCATTGTGTTTGTGATATTCTTCATCTGCGCGTGCTTTTTGTATCACAAGTTTCAACAGTGGAAGAACTCATGTGAGTGCACGCCACATGGCGTATACTTGATAAGCCATTAACAAAACATTGCGCATACGCAACGTGGGCCATTAACATGATTTTATCTAGACTATTTGTAATCTGTGTCAATATTATTTACTAAATTCACCCACTATAAGCAACATATCGAGTTGCTCAGTGATGTTATTTACGTATTAACAAATAATTTACTTGTAGGCGTTAATTAACATGCATTGGCTAAGAAACAGAAAGAGGCTGACGCATTCAGCCCATAAATGTTTCCATTCAAGCAGAGCTTGTAAGTGTATGTGTGTGTGTGTGTGTGCAAATGAACAACGTAATGAAACAAAAGAACTTACGCAGCAAATTGGACAGAAAATATAACATAAAACCTAAGCCTGAAAACAAGCGGCTGCTTACTATGCTTTTAACGATGATGGTATTGATTTGTGTGGCATGACTATTGTAGAATGATTCACATTTAAAGCCAGACAAATTTGAGCACTAATTATTTGCATAGCAGGCTGGCTGAGAGAGTTCTCGTGAAATTATTCGAAGAATGTGAAAATAAATAAATAACTTATTTGTCTTGGCAATTGCCAAATAATTGCGGGCTTGAAGCAGAAACAGAATCATAAGTTCTGTTGTCGGGCACATAGGCAAGCGGACCTATCATAACTTGTGTCTGGCTTTGTTCAATTATAAATTATAAGGCAATTAGCTAATAAATTCTAAGCTGTAACGATTAAGCCCATACGCATACCCACAGAGGCAGACACGCAAACACTCAGACAGAATAATGCATTTAGATCTTATCTGTGTGTTCGTTGGTAGCCCCTTTGGCTGGGCCTTTTGTTTGACAGCCGAAAACAAACATAACATTTTCAGTTAATTAAAGCTGCAGTCAAGTGGCCCATCTGCTGCGCCAAGACTAGCCAAGATACGAACTGTGCAATCAAGTGCTCTGTTTGCCCAGTTCGAGGCTCGATTACACTGCAAATGTGTGTTAATTAATTTAAATTGTTTTCTACTGCTGCACCGAACAAAAGAATCGTCTTCTCAATTGTTTGTTAATGGCCAAATACCAAGTCACTGGGCCACTTTCATTTTGATTAGCCAACCAATTCAGCTCTTCGATGGAGGTGCATCGATTGACATGGGCAACGGAGGCATCAAATGCAGGCAGCAGCCGAACAGCTCAAGTACCTCAAAGGCGGTTCGAGTCAAGTGCCTTGTGGTGAATGAACGATATCCATTTCAATGGACAAGATAACGAACTGGGCAATAAGATAGTAATCAAGTCAGTCCATACCAATGCCTTATACATATTTGTTTGCAAACAAAAGACTTCTAGCAACAACAATGCGTTCTATAAATAAACAAAGCTCAGACTACCCAAGCTTCCTCTTTAAGCCGTCTAGAATTCAAACTTTGTTGAATATTTGCGGCATTGTTATGCAAATATTTAAAAAATAATAATTTCGCTTATTGTTGCATATTTATTTATGAAAAGTCTTCCAATAGCAGATACCCTGCTGTAAAGGCAAAGTTAATAAAAAGTGTAATGAGCGCAACGAAACAGTTCGTTAATATATGAAATTTAAGTACGTAGCAAACATTGCCACATCACTCATACGCAGTGTCAGCAGTGCTACGGTGCGTATGAGTGACGTTTTTCAGTTCACGGCTGTTTAATTTGCCTTTAATGAGTTGTTTATCTTTGTTTTGGCTGTTACTGCTGCTGCTGCTGTTGGTGTTGGTGTTGATGCTGCCTTTGCAGCTGCCATTGCTGGATTATTATCATAACTGACAACATCTTTGCCGTTGCTTCGCCTTTTATGATAGTTTTATTTCTTATTTTTGAAGCAAAAGCTTTTTTAAAATATGTATAAAATTGAAAAAAGTGGATTGAAAGAATTTAAATTGTTCAAATTTAAGCTTATCAAATTTAAACTTATCTAATTTAAGTTCAATTATAAATATTTTTTTGTGTAATTTTAATTATGTAGAACATTTTTCTGAGTGCACTTATTGAAGGTGTTTTTGGAGTATTATAACTTTTGAAAAATTAAAATCCTCGAAAAAAAGTCATTAAACTTCTTCGTCGCCTCGCTCCGCCCGCACTTCAATACAATGTGTGAGTGGCTGGCAAATAAAGCTGCGAAATGTTAATTAAATTAGGCATTGATTAAATTTGCAAGTAATTAACAAAGCGTGAATTGCAATGGCAATGCAACATCATCATCGACAACATCATAAGCAACATCATTATCATTGTCAGTGGGGAATTAAATGTGACTTTCACTTGCCCAAACCCCACTTTAACCTTAAGCAGCTTTGACGTCAATACATTTCCCACTTGGGTATGAAATGTTTTTCGCAGCATGCAACAAATTTAAGCGGCTTATTCATAAGCAGATAAATATGTACACATATATATATATATAGACATATATAATATGCATGCTAATACTATTTATTTTCGATTTATTGAATCGCACGCAAAATTCGCAAAAATATGCTAAATGAATAAAACCCAAGCCCGAAAGCCAGCGAAAACCAGCGAAAACCAACAAAAAGGCAACGCGAATTAGCAACAGTAACTAAAATCAAGTTTGGTATTGCATTGCCAATGCTAATACCCCTAACAGGCCAATAACTAAACAGAGAATAACCCACAAAGCAGCCAAAGCCGGTGGGGTAGCGGGCGAAGCTTGACTAACCAAAGTCGACATGATGCTTCAGTTTATAAGCCACAAAACGTGTTGGATTTGTTTCAATGGCGCTAATTGCTTAATTGAAACTGTTTTTGCATTGCATTTACTGTTAGCTTACTTCCCGCCACGCCACCCTTCCGCCGCCCTTCCGCCGCACTTCCCAGCCGGCTGTTGTGCCTTTCATAGCAAAATGTCAATTAGTATTTGCCTGCTAAAAGCCAAAAAATCGACAATAGCCCAAATTAGCTGTTCGCCGCCTGACACATACCCACTCACAAACCGTGCCGCGCCACTCCTCAGCGCTCCAGCATGTGTCACGCTGTCGTATACGTAATATACACTTTGATTAGCATTACGCATACGCCACGTTCAGCATTCGATATTTGAAATGCATTGCGAAAAATTGTTGCATTTTAATTACAAATTTGTAAATATATATTGCCGGTTCCTGGCACATCATCATCATAATTGGCCAAGGGGCAGCTGCACGCGCTGCTGCTGCTGCTGGCGCTGTTGCTGCTGCAGCATATTTCAATAATTGAAGCACGCTATATTTTTAATTAGTTAAATGCGCGTTTAATTAGCTCTATAAATTATGCACATGCAGCGGTTAGTTGAAAACTCTGCACAAACTTTTTTTCTGTTTTTTTTTTTATATTATTTACTGGCTTTTGCAGTTGTCGTGTCTTTTTTTTTGGGCGCTCGCTGACTTTGGAGTTTATTTTTGTATAATTTATGAATATTTGCTTAACAGACAGCAGGACTGGAATGATGGTCTTTCAGTTATGATTTATTTATATATTTTTGGCATATTTTTTTACCACACTCTGTTTGTTTGTCTGTTTATTTGTTTGTCTTTTCGCTGTCGACGGAAATGAACTGTGATTTTTATTTATTAATCGGCTCATGATTTATGAATAAATAATTGTAATGTATTTTTTACTACGTCGATGAGCTGCCAGCGGCGGTTTGAGCCTACGTGCGACACGACAGCAAGAACTGTAGGCAGAAGAAGAAGAAGGAATATACCCAAAGCTGTGCTGCAGCAAAATAAAAAAATTAATTGGCAAAGAAAAAAATATTGATTAAATATGCAATTTTTTTAATTAAATTATTAGAAATGCAAATAACGAAATTCAATGATTTCCAAATTAAATATTAAAAATTTGTTATTTAATTATTTATTTAACATCAATCATACGCACCGTTACAATTCAAATATCCAAAAAGCGCGCTCAGCATAGTGTTGTAAAACGTCAAACAGCTGGCAAGCGCTTACACAGCTGCCCAAGCGGTTCAGCAAGCGGCGCGAGACCGAGAGCGAGAGCAATAGCGAGAGCGCGGCACATAACGCAAAGCAAAACAAAACAAAACAAAATGCGACGCGCAATTAACACTCACACGCGCACGCACACAGAACTAATAACAGACGCCACCAGACAATAACAACAGCAACTACAACAACAAGAAGAAGAGCAGTGAGCAAACATGTTCCACAGTTTGACGACCGCGCAAAGAATGCAGCAAGCAACAAGCAGCGACCAGAACATCGGCCGGAGCAGCGCAGAAGAGCGAGGCGACTTGGCAAGCAGACAGACCAAAGACGGGAGAGCGCAAAGTAAGAAACACAAGGAACTCAGAGAGCCAGACAGCTGCAGCACGACAAAGAGATTAAGAGAGAGCGAGCGCGAGAGAGAGAGAGAGCAGAAGAACTGGCTGGTAAATTGTATTGGCGACAAAAGCCAAGCGGCGCTGCTGCCGCTGTCGCTGCGTGTGGCTTTTATGGCTAGTTTTAAAATTAACCACAGCTGCAAAAAAAGCGAATAAAGCGTAAAAATCAAAAGAAGAGACAGACAAAGTCGCAGACTGAAACGAAATTCAATTAAAAGGCAACAGCACATAAAAGTGTGAAAATGCTGACACAGCCAAAAAGGGCTGCGACTCTGGCTGTGGCTGTGGCTGAGGTTGCGGCCGAGACTGTGGCTTTCGGCAGCGATCAGCACAGACACAGGCACACACACACACACACACACAGTAGCACATGCTTGGAAAGCAGCGTCGCTGCTAGCGTTGCCTTTGTTGACTGTACAACGGGGCGTATACTCGTTTTTTTCGGCTTGCCTGCTTTCTACAGCCGTCAGCCAAATAATGTGTATACGTTTGTAGATTTTTTTAATCATATTTGTTGTTATTGTTGTTGTGCGCTTTTTTACGCTTTCTACACCAGCAGCAACAACAACAACAACAACAGCAGCAGCAGCAGCAGCAACGATAGCAAAGCTCGCCACACTTAATTTGCAT